TCTCTCTACCTTATGCTATGGTCACCACAAACATAGCTACCATCTGTCACCATATAACACTATTACATTATCATTGACTATATTCCCTGTGCTGTACCTTTTATTCCCATGACTTATTCATTCCATAACTGGAAGCCTGAAACAGGCATTTTAGTACCATGGAGGTCCTTGGGGTCATTATTACAAACATAAGTTATTTTAATACTTTTTATTTAAACAGCATTTTTAACTTTCATGATGTTTTGTCAAAATAAGCTTTTTCATTTGATGCTTTCTCTACCTTCATTGGGTAGGTAAAGCAAGTATTATTATTCTCATTTCATAAATGAAATAGGTCATACAGCCAGTAAGCAACAAACTCAGGAGTTTAATCCTAATATCCTCACCCCTAATTTTCTGACCCCTATATTACTCTTGTCATTTAATATTTGATATTTAGCAATATGCTAGATATCAAATTTTATTACAGTAGGAATTTTTAAAATCATCTAACCCTACAAAACTTTTAAAATCATACTTTTGGAAATATACAGGTTCTTTAAGGATATACTTTTAGAAATATATAAAAACATACTTTGGGAAATATACAGATATTTTGAGGACATAAATCCCTCCATGGAATGACCATGACTACTTCAGGTGTACTTTGATAGCATGAAATATGAAATATTTTTTAAGGAAACAAACCAGGAAAGGAGGTTACCAAAATATATAGAGATTACTTTTCCTATTAAAGTTTAAACTTAGGAAAGTTAGCTAAAGAGGGAACTGTTTTCTCTGTTTCTGTGCCAGTCTTGCAGAATATATAATTTCTGAAAATCCTCTCCAGTTAGAATCTTTAAAATTTGAAACTGAAGAAGTCCAAATGGAAAGGCAGTTTCTTATAATTTATGAGCTCTTATCCATTAGACTGTAAATTTTTTGATGTTTGGGACATCTTGTGTATATGTGTGCATACTCCAATGTCTTGCTCATACTACGAACTCAAACATTTGATGAAAATTGGGCTTAATTTACTTTTAATTCTTTGCTTTTGATGATTTGAGCCTATCTTCATAAAATCTAAGAAGGTAAAAATAATGGGGGTACTTTTTCACTTTCTCTGTTATTTTCTACATTGCTATCAAATTTCTAAAATATAAATGAATCATGTTTCTTTCCTACTTAAAAAACTAATTTATGAGATAAGGGGCATATTACTTTTATGTTATAAACTTCTGATATATATGAATTTGTTACAATGAGTGTGCATTACTTTGCAGCAAGAGAGAGAGAAAAAAAGCACGCCCAAATCTAACACAGGAGAATAACAAAGATTCCAGTCCCAATTTCCCATAGGATAAATTTTAAATGCTTTATCCAGGTAGACAGATCTTTAACCTGAAACTTCCAATTTCCTTGTTAAGTTTCATCTCCCCACCAACACCCACCAGTCACCCTCCCCACATGTACACACATTGCTACTCTCCAGTGAAATAGAACTATCTTTTCTAATGACACCATTAGTTTTCCCTCCAACTTGCTTTTTTGTGTGCACTTTATTCAATCTAGAAAACCATGCCTTCCCTTTTGTTTCCAATGAGATTCCTTCGAGACCCAGCTCAAAACACACTTTTTTAGTCCATAGCAAAATTAGTGCTCTCCTCTGTATACCAGGAGTGCTGTGTTGCACAACAGCTTCCCCTGTTAACTATGGTCAGAGTAAGAACCATGAATCATACATTAGACATCTTTGTACCTCTCCTCCTCTTTCTCCATTCTTTGCCTGACACATTGAAGACATTAAGTAAATGCTTGTTAAATGAATAAATAAATAAATGCACTAACAATTTAATATATTTTTCTAAAGTAATATAACTCATGTCTAGTGAATAAATATTGTTAGAGTGGTTAATAAAGAGTAAAGTTTATTCAGCCTGAGAAGCAGTGTGGTGTATTGGCTAGAATTCCAGCTCCGAAATGAGACAGATCAGGGTTCGTTTTTAGCATCTACGAATTCTTAGCAGTGTGACCTTTGGAAAGTGACCTCACCTCAGTGGGTTTCACTTCACTGATTTACATAAAAGGGCTAATAATACCCAAATCACTTAGTCCAATGTCTGGCAAAACCCAGATGCTTATTAAATGGTAGTTATTACTGTTAATTTTATCATCTCATACAACATTTCAGTTTGGTATATATTTGTTACCATCACACATTTTATTATCTATGCTAGCTGTGTGAAAGGGGGCTGTGGCATTAGTTTAACAAAAGGAATTTTTCCAGGAGATGAAATAGAAAGTTTGGGGGCTAATGGGGTGGAGAGGGGCTTGGGAGTAAGATCAAGGGAACTGGAGAAACAGAACTACTACCCATATGGTTCCTTCAATTTTTATTCTGAGTCCCCCATCCCCTTTTCAGGGTTATCTCACTTAGCTCTCTGCCACCACAATCTCATTTGGCCCTTACCACTGCATTAAGGAAATTGGCATGATGTAGGAAAAAGGGCATAGGCTGTAAAGACCAAACAGGTCTCCATCACTTACTAATTTTGTGACTTTGGGCAAGTGAACTGGCCTCCCTGGGACTCTATTTGTTCATTGATAAAATAGGAGCAAACATACCTACTACACTAGGTTATTATGAGGCATAAGTTAATGTGTATAACAACCTGGTATTATAGCTGGAACATATTAGGTGCTCAATGAATGGTAGGTTCCTCATCTGTTTCCTTCTAAGTTTATGACTATATATTTGATTATTTGTCTAAGTAAGAGGCAGAATCTCCTTCAAGTAGCTTCAGAAGGAGACTCCAAAAAGAGTGTTGAAAACACAGAGGAAAAGCATTAGAATCTACTTTGATCATTTTTTATATCTTACCTGGAGATCCCACCTTTCCATCTCCCCACCTTGTAGTTTGTGGTAATGTGTATGTATGTGTGATTTAAGTCAGGACACTACCCCCTCTCAGGTCCATAAGGATAGAAGTTCCTTTCACTGACTTGGCTCTCTCTGTGTGTCATACAAGCAGCATGGCTAGCAGGGTGGGGCAACTTGTGTATGTGGGAGAGGTATAGTTGGCTACTAATGATCTGCCTGTGTTGAAAGTTGATTCCTGCTACCCCATCCTTATGCACCAGCAAGAGCAGATTAACAGGCAGAGCCCTAGGACAAATGTCCCTGGTGCAGGGAATAAGACCTTGTCACTTTACTGGGAAAGTTGGGTCACTGAGGGTTCTCATTACCTTCTTCAGTGCTTTTGTTTGGTTAACTTATGAAGTCCAAAAAGTTTACTTTTGAAGTTGCTCAATATTTCTGTTGCTGCTCCCTTTATTTTTGTAGGATTTTATCCTCCTCTCATCCCTGCCCTCTACACCACCTAGCCCTCACCTGAACCCTTTCTAACATTTCCTCCCAATCTTCCCCAACCCTCTTCTCAACCTTCCCTCTACCCTCCCTCCTAAACCCTTTTCCTTCCACCACAACCATTCCTCTACTTTCTCCATTTCCCCCAACCCCATCACCCACTGACCTGGCTACCCCTGGAATATTCAGGATCTCACCCAAACTTTAAACCTTTTCCAATCTCTTCTCTCCCAATTTACTTGTCCCTTCCCTCTTCCCTCAGCTAAGCCATGAAATAACTCACACATCAGTAGAAATTGCCAATGTTTATTGATTTTTTAAAAATATCACTTGCAAATTTCTTTTCTTTATTGAGAAAATGTTGCAGTTGTGATAAAGAAAATCTTGGTAAAAAACTCAAGTCAGCCTAACAACTACACTTTTTCTTTCTTTTTTAAAGATTTTATTTATTTGAGAGAGAGAACATAAGCAGGGGGAGGAGCAGAGGGAGAGGGAGAAGCAGACTCCTCACTGAGCAGGGAGCCCAATGCAGGGCTCAATCCCAGGGCCCTGAGATAATGACCTGAGCCTAAGGCAGATGCTTAACAGACTGAGCCACCCAGGCACACCTCAACTACACTTTTTCAATGTTAGTTCCTAATATCTATTCTCATGCATCTTATTAGTATAAATTGTAATTAAAACAGCCCCACATTAAGGCAGAGTTCAAGGTGGGGGCATGCAGAGTTGGTGAAAAAAAGCAACTCAAAATCATCAGGTTCATTGCCTGATCTGAGATTATTGCATAATCTGAGAAGCAGGGTTATTATGCAAGTACCCTTAGTTCCTTGCCAGAGATTCAGTGGAAGATTCTTTCTTTAAACAAATATTTATTTATTTATTTATTTATTTATTTATTTGAGAGTGAGAGTGAGAGCACAGGGAAGGGGGAGGAGCAGAAGGAGAGAGGACCTTAAGCAGACTCTCACTGAGCTCAGAGCCTAACATGAGCTCTATCTCAAGACTCCAAGATCACGACCTGAGCCGAAACCAAGAGTTGGAACCTCAACTGACTGTGCCACCCAATTGCCCCATCAGTGGAAGATTCTGAGCAGCAAATGCTGATGACAGCTGAGGTAACAGAAAACAGGTTGTTAAGCTCAGTCACGAGGACACAAGATCTATTCAGCAATTATTTCATCATGACATCTTCTATTCCACCTGTGCCTGAAGCAATTGTAGTGACAATAATGGGATGGAAAGGACACAGTGAGGGGACTCCACTCAATGTTTGAATCATGTGTTTTAAGCCAGTGAATTCCAAGAATCAGAGGGTGCTGTGGTGCATGAATAATATCAAACTGGAGCTCTTCAACGTTGTTTACAATTTTAACTTCCACAGATGGTGTTTCCTTGGTTATGGGTCCATTAATCAGTGGATGACCATTTATCATTTAAAGCATCAGAGGGAAGATATTATTGTGGATGGGCAGATTCTCTTGAAGAACCACAGAATGGATAATGCTGTTTCTATAGGAGCCTGGATCCACCATTGCTTGCTCAAAGAACTGTTGTCTTCCCAGTTGGAATTCAACAGTAAGTCATAGGGTATGAGACATGGATGTTGGAAGTGAGGGGGACCCATATTTGTAGATTGGCCTGCCTGGGTTCCCCCTTACTGCCGGGCCTCGATGTTTCCCACCTGCTATGCACAATGAGTCTTGACAGGGCAGTCTCTGGCAAAATGACCAGGATGACCATAGTAGAGGCACAAGTGGCCTTCCCAGCAGTGGGCCTGTTCAGCTTCACTGAGATGTAGGCTATTGCTTGCAACCTGCACAGGCTGGTTTTCAGCTAGTAAACTCTCAGGCCCAGCTCTCTCCTCAGAGGGACTTGCTCCTTGTGGATTTGGATCAGGCTTACCACTTAGCTTCTGTTCTAGACACTGAGTGATCAGATCAGATAGGTTGGTGGCTGCTGGGTTTGTGTGAGACAGATCATCTGGGACAGAACTTCAAGCCCTTCCTGAAATTGGATGTAGAGAATGCTTTCATTCCAGTTTAGCTCTTGAGCAGAGATGGAAGTGGGTCACATACTGGTGAACAGGATCCTCCCCTTGGCAAGGCTGATGGATGCTGTGACTGGCATGTTCCATGTTTTCTGGACTGTCAAAAGTATCCTGGAGCACTTCTATGAAACTTTCAAATTGCTCCAGGAGGGCACTTTGGGTATCTAGTAAGGGCTAAAAACACATTCCTGCCTCACCTGAGAAGCAGTTGCCAACAAAGCTCACTATGGTTGCTTCAGTGGGATACAGGTGCCCTCTGACTCTCATGTAACTATTGAGTTGAACCAAGAATTCAGAAAGCTTCTGGGCATCTCCACTGAAGGCTAAACATTATTCTAGGGAGAAAGCTTCACCCTCTAACCCACTGGGGGACTATGGGAATTCTGAAGCTGCTGATGTCAAAGCAGCTATTAGGCCCTCCAGGGACTCCTGGGGTGCTGAGGGCTCTAGGAACTCCTGGGCATCTAAAGGATCCAGAGGCTGGTAGGGCACTCCAGTTTTGAGAGACTCCTGGAGAGTTGGAAGCTTAAGGGGCTCCAGGTATGTTGGGGTCTCCTGACGTTCTATAGCCTCCTGAGTCTCTTGGGCACATGGGAGATCCTGGTGCTCTGAATTTTGGGTCTTCTGGGTCACTGGGATCTCCTGGGTATCTGGGAGCTTCTGGGCCTTCTTAACTTCTGGGGGCTTGTAGGCCTCCTATGCCAAGGGAGGCTTGTGGAGTTTCTTGACCTCTGGAAGATTTTGAGATTTCCAGGCTGCTGAGTGCTCACAGACCAGTGAAGGTGCCTGTGGCTTATGGATTGCTGGAAGCTCCAGGGACTCTGGGTCTGCTGGGGGTTACAAGAGCTTCTCGGTCTCATTTCCTGGTGCTCCTGGGCTGCTGGGGTCTTCGAGGCTGGGAGCTCCTGGGGGTCTCTGAGATTTTGGGAATCCTCACCTTCTGGGAATTCTTGGCACTCCCAGGATTCTGGGAGATCCAGGTTTTCTAGGGGTTTCTGGGGTTCCTGGGACTTTGAGGGCTTCTGGAGTGGTTCAGCCTCCTTGGCTGCTTGGAGCATCTGGAGCTCTGGGATCTGAGCCTGTGGGGCAACATTTTCTTCCATCAGTCACTGCAGTTGGGCCTGCAGAATTTTATTCTCCAATTTCAGAGCAATATCGAAGCCTGCTAAGTCCTCTACTGTATTTTGAGGAAATGGGCTTGGTTTGGCAGTTTGCTACCAAGAGAGATTGGGTGGTTTTTCTAAAAGCTCCATTTAGAAAAAGCTCCCTTCTAAAAGATGTCAGGCTCTGTGACTTTTCCAGGAGGTAGGGATTTGGATCCCACCAAGGTTGATTACCAGGTCATTGGGAACCTCTGGAGCTCAGCAAGGGAGATATGAGATATACTGTAAAGAGAGTGGGATCTGAGGATCAGAAACTGTGGAAAGCACTCATTTAAAATAAATTAGAACAAAACCTGCCTAACAATGCTGGGTTTCCTTTACTATAGGCTCATATTCATGAGTTGAATCATATATGCTCATTCTGACCCCATGACATTTTAAGAACAACATCTGATCCAGACTGTGTATGTCATTTTGCTTTCTTCTTTTGAAACTTACCATTAGAAGCAATTTCTCCATATTCTTTTCTGTTTTACACAGTCTTTAATTTCTTATGTCTGTTTGATATCCCAATGTAAAATGGATTTTAACAGCTGCTTTCAATGACTAAATCAAATGTTTGAGCAATGTGGAGATTTTAGGCTCTGTGGTGGGTCAACCCAAGAGATATTTTTGGGTGGCTGAGGTAGAAACTCTTTCTGACACCTCAGAAATTATACCACAGAAGTAACTGCACAAGATCAGCCTCAGGAGAGAATAAGCAAAAGTTGACTATATATATATATATATATATATATGCTCAGCGGACACATGCATATTATTTATAAATGCCTCAAAATAGTTAAGAAAATAATCTTTATAAATGTACATTACCATTCAGAGACTTAGTCCAGGAGCTCAGCTGTCTGTGTACCCATCGTTGAGGAGGAAAATGTGTAAATGGCTGTGGAGGCTTTCCTTTTCTGCACACACTGAACTCAAATAAACACACCCACTCCCAGAAGACATTCCAACTTTCCTCTGTAACGTAGCTATTTAGAGTGTGGAAGAGGGTTGTTTTTTTTTTTTTTTTTTTTGACAATACCTTACAGTTTAGAGCTGCAGGGAAAGTGAGATGTTGCACTGATGTGAGGCAGCCTGATGTACTCAGTCCTTGGTTAATTTAATAAATATTTGGCTAGGAAATTAGGAGTAATACCACTGCCCTTGTAAAAAGTTGCAAACATTTCTGAATGACGACAGTGATTTGGGACTTTATTTTTTATGTCTGTCTCATGTAACCTCCTCTTACTCCATCCACACTAGGCCATTTGTTTAATTCTCAGAGTGCAGCCTGCAGTCCCTCAGCCCCTTCCCCATCCTACCTACTCAGTCCCTAAAGTCCCTTCCTGCAATGCTTTCTTGGGATCTTTACCATGAATAGATCTAGGCAAGGTATAGTAGGTAAGATTGTGGCTGAGGCCAACTTTGTTGAAAGGTACCTGTAGTAAGTCTTGCAGGGACACTGGCTTATTCTGAATGTCTTTGCCCAGGCTTCTCATTCTTCCCTGAGCCACTCACGTGCACTAAGCAAACCCAGGTACCCCACTAAGGGCTGGCCTCTTGAGAAATGGAACTGGAGGGTGTTATGCTGAGTGAAATAAGTCAATCAGAGAAAGACATGTATCACATGACCTCACTGATATGAGGAATTCTTAATCTCAGGAAAGAAACTGAGTGTTACTGGAGTGGTTGGGGGTGGGAGGGATGGGGTGGCTGGGTGATAGACATTGGGGAGGGTATGTGCTACGGTGAGCGCTGTGAATTGTGCAAGACTGTTGAATCACAGATCTGTACTTCTGAAACAAATAACGCAACATATTTTAAGAAAAAAGAAAAAGAAGATAACAGGAGAGGAAGAAAAGGGGAGTATGTCAGAGGGGGAGACGAACCATGAGAGATGATGGACTCTGAAAAACAAACTGAGGGTTCTAGAGGGGAGGGGGGGAGGGGGATGGGTTATCCTGGTGATGGGTATTGAGGAGGGCACGTTCTGCATGGAGCACTGGGTGTTATGAACAAACAATGAATCATGGAACACTGCACCAAAAACTAATGATGTGATATATGGTGATTAACATAACAATAAAAAAATTAAAAAAAAAAAAGAAATGACCTCGCTCAAGATCTCACCTTCTCTTCTCAAGACAAATTATAATCACATCCTGAACCTGGGCCACGTGGCCATTTTAGGTAGAGCTAAGGGACAGCTATTTTTGTCTCTTTATTAGAGTGGGGTTGGAGATTGTCTTTGGCAACTTCAAATCACATATCTAGTCAGTTGTGTTCCCAAGTCTCCTTTAAAAATAGTTCCACATTAGTCAGCATAATGGATAAACCCTGGTGATGGAATATGCTCAAAATCCAGCAAATTGACTGGACTAACTGAACCAGAATTCAGAGGCTTTGAAAAAGGAAGTAAAAGTCAAGTTATATTCTCTCCCTCCCTTTTAATGTTTTAGTCTTTGGAAACATACCGCACATAAAAAATATCACCATCATCAGAGAATAATATGTTCTATTTATGTGAATTTTTCAGATTAATGAAGCTTTCCCTTTGAGAATCCAAAACACACAGTTGAGATTTACGTTACCAATTAAAAATTTAAATATTTATAGCCTGCATTACACTTCTTTCTCCATTCTTAAGTAAATGATTTTGAATATAATTTATTTTTAATGGTTTGGGGGTCATAAGTACACAAACCAGCTCCTTTACTGTGCCGTAACACCATATTGCCTTCTGAAAGCTGCTGAGAGGTATGAAGTAGCCTGTCCGCAAATTAAAAACATCAAAATTGCTATGCTTTCCAATTGCATGTAATTTCTTTCTTTGTATTTTTTCTAATCTTTTGCTATCAGGCTATCTCATAGTCCTTCACACTGTTACCTGTGTGCTTGTACATACTAAATATAGATAAATTTGAAAATTAATCCTAAAATTTAGTCTAAAACTCAGTTTATGAAACTGTAAAATGGAGGAGTTGTTAATTATATTTAACTTTATAGAGTTGTTGCAAAGGTTTAGTGAAATAATGCGTGTAAAAGGCTTAGCACAGTGTTTAGTAGCTAGTAACATGTAATAAAGGTTAATAATAACAATAATAAGCTGTAGCAGATGTAAACTCATTTTAATTTATTATTTTTAATCATCTGTGAATTAGTAAACTGGATAAGTAAACTTGCTAGAATTGTGTAGGGGCTGAGAAGGGGCTCTCACATGAAGAAATATACAGTGCATGGCTTTTATGGGATAGATTTTTCACCACTCAGAAGCTTTCTTGTTTTTTTTCCTTCCTGGCTGAGTTATGAATGATTTAGTTTACCAAATAATGCTTTAGAATCAGAACTGGAGGCACTTGAGCAGGAAGATGAGATGATTTAACAAGGGGATTGTGGAGTAACCAAGACAGATTTTTAAAAAGTCCAGGAACTAAAGCAGTGAACAATGCCTTGTCCACAGGCATATTTACCCAGTGGGTAAACATAGGGACATTTCTCTTCACCCCCACCCTCCTGCTAAAGAGCAAAGACCAAATTCAATATCTTTAAGTACAAGTTCCAAACTGCCTAAACTTACAGAATTATTCTCTTTTGAATAGAAAAAAAGAACTACACTGACTTTTGTCAGCATGACTAAAGTAGTTTTAATATCCTGAATTAGTCAAAGTAAGAATAGGGAAGTAATAACATTGAAATTCTGTTTCACCTGCACTTTAATCCTTTGTACACTCACAACACTGAGATTTATGGAGTTTTTACAATGCTTAGGAACACATTCTAAGTAAATGAGTTTTTGTTAACTGGGCAAATGAATTTTTAGGGAAGCATGAGATAAATGTGTTCACTAAACAGTTATAGAAAGACTGCATGGTTATGCTCAGTTATGTTAATAAATTATACATGCTGATTGTTAGCTTAGGGAGAAAAGAAAGATTGAATAATTTGAAATTCTACTTTGTACACTGCACTAAGAATCATAATTTGGGGGGCAAATGTACAATCTAAAACTTTTCATGTCTGTGTCAGTGTCTTCCTTCCCAATGCTGGCTGAACTATATCTTCAAGCAACTCAGGCTCCTGCCCCTCCTTCTTTCTGCCCTGGAAATAGTCAACAAGACAGGTTACCTGACAGGTCTCTGGCCCAATGCCCAGCTACCCTTTGGGGACAGTCCTACTCTGGTGTCTATTTTGTTCAACATGATATTTCTATGGTTGCATTACAGCTTGCAGCACTTTTGTGATTTTAACCCATAATGTGCTTAGTACAGATTGAAAGTTTTCATTGTCACCAACACTATATAGCACTAGGACAGCTGGAGTTCCCAAATTCCTTTCCAAAGCTTTCCAAGAATTCTTACTCATATGACTGGGATCCATAGCACTTGGTAGAGTAGTAGGAACATGTTCTACCTTAGTACAACTCTGAAGGAGTAAAAATTTGTCACCCTTTTATCTTCCTATCTTCCTTTATGACATGTACCATCTTCCCATCCTATTTCTTGTCCTAAGCATATTTATGAGGCCTTTCCCTTTGATCCACTGTCACTTTTGGAAATGAATCCCTACTGAGATATTACCTCCTAGGGTTCTAAAAAAAACTTTCTTGGGGCATTTTCATTTTCATAGGATATTCTGAAAGGCTTCAACCCCTCAAGATCTTTCTGTTTTGAAAGATGTTCTGGGACAGAGACACCATTTTAACATCCTTCAGATTATACCATTCAAGTGGCTCTGTATTTCATTTCCTTATATGAATGGTCCAATATGCCTTCTAGTGTTAGCAGATTTGCTTAATGATTTCAATGCTGTGGCTTCATTGAACCCTGATGATGTGCTAGCTAAGGGCTGAGGGAACCACCACCATGGCATAACAAAGGAATATGGGGCCTTTGCTATAGTTCAACTTGTGGGGATATCTTCTTATCTGGCCCTCTCCTCTACTTCCTGGATCCCTATCTCTGAGGTTTGCCAATGCTGATTCACCCAGAAAACAGACAAAGTCAGAGCTGATAGCATCAGCGAGGCAAAAGAGAGAGGAGGGAGGAGAGGAGGGTGGAGGAAGGATGGTGGGGTTAGGGAGAAGGAAAGATAACAGAAGGTCTAGAAAGAAGCTTTAAAACTGAGCATGTGTACAGTTTGGTCATTTATTCTTTTTAAATTAATTAATTAGCTAATTAATTAATTTGAGTGAGAGAGAGCACACGATTGGGAGGAGGGGCAGAAGGAGAGGGAGAGAAGCAGACTCCCCACTGAGCATGGAGCTCAATGTGGGGCTCGATCTCATGACCCCGAGATCATGACCTGAGCCAAAATCAATTGTCAGCTGCTTATCTGACTGAGCCACCCAGGCTCTTCTTCATTTTGGTCATTTAAAGATAAAATTTAATTTTATGTGTTTATAGCAGCAATGTCCACAATAGCCAAAATATGGAAAGAGCCCAGATGTTCATCAACAGATGAATGGATAAAGAAGATAAGAAGATGGGGTATACACAATAGAATATTACTCAGGCATCAAAAAGAATGAAATATTGCCACTTGCAGTGATGTGGTTGGAACTAGAGGCTATTATGCTAATTGAAATGTCAGTCAGAGAAAGACAAATACCATATGATTTCAGTCATATGTGGAATTTAAGAAACAAAACAGATGAGCATAGGGGAAAGGAAGGAAAAATAAAATAAGATAAAAACAGAGAGGGAGGCAAACCATAAGAGACTCTTAACTATAGGACACAAACTGAGGATTGCTGGAGGGGAGGTGGGTAGGGAGATGAGGTAACAGGGTGATGGGCATTAAAGAGGGCACTTGATGAAATGAGCACTGAGTGTTAAATGCAACTGATGAATCACTAAATTCTATCTCTGAAACTAATAATACACTATATGTTAATTAAGTTGAATTTAAATTAAAAATTAACTTCATGGTTTAGCATATTAAAAATCACATGATAGAAGACTACTTCTTAGTGCTTAGGCTTACCTGTAAAGGTCTTAATCAGGCAATGGGGGTAGTATGGTCTATATAGAGTTATAGACAGCTAAAAGGATGGTGATAGACCCTCATTAGAACTGGAGAGGAACATTGGAGTGTATTGATGAGAGATGCAGCAGTGAATGGGGTGTTGAGGAGGGCAAAGACCCAACCCTGCCAACTTTACATTTTTGTTGTGTGGTACAAATGAGATAATAGTTGTGAAAGTGCTTTGAAAAAATATGCTAATGGAAAGAAAGCAGGCTTTGAAGTAGGACAAGCCTAAGATTCAATTCATAGTTCTGCTCTTTACCAGATGTGTGATCCTGGCCAAATTACTTAGATTCTCCGAGACTCATTTTCCTCATCTGGAAAGTAGAGGATAATAATAGGTCATTATTTAGTTGCTGTGAGGATTAAAAATAATGTTCATACATAACAATAGGCATTTGCTAAGTTGTAGCTGATAATAAAATCATATTGATATAAAAGGGATTACCACTAAATTTCATGTATCAGCTCATCT